AGCGTTTGGATAATACATGTATATACATAAATATTTCCAAAAGGAATGAATTAAGATTCGACTTCTTTTTTACTCGAACTTGTTCTCGCTTAGTTCTCCTGCGAATATTGGCTAAGGGATGGTAAACGAACCACCTATAAGACCAAAATCAAAGATTGATATCAACAAAGAAAATATTTGATGCTCTAAATCAACTTTGAGAATAAAATCACCGCAATGATCTTTACCAACGTCTAGACATTAGGTAAGATTACTAAACCTTGAACATAATTGTTTTTGGTTTGTAAACAAGCAAAGACCTAACTTGCTTTCTTGAACATTACTTTAACTAAAATGCAAAAGCCATGTCATTATCCTAAATATCTCAAAAAACAAAAATAGGATATATACATAGGTCCATCCCAATATCATGATGGCGTAAACAATAACAAGTCATTAGAACTACCCCAAAATGGGGGCTCCAAGACTTGTGAAATAGCAAGAATGCGCATAACCTGACACATGGGGGCTCTAATATCAACAAAAAACAAATGAGATATTCATGCCATTCGAGCTACTTTCGAGAATCGCCTAAACTACAAAGGGTTTACATAGATCTCGAGCCTTACAATTTTCAAACGTATCACAATGATTTAATAATCATGTTGTTCCATTGAAAACTAAGTTTGCAACTAAACTTGGCCATTAAACATGTTACATACTCAAGCCATTTTCAAGTTCAACTTCAGAACTAATCTTAGTGCATAATTGTTGTTCCAATACTTCATTTTACTCTAGAGATTAGAGAGTATGACTAGTATAGAGCAAAAGAAACAAAATCATGATGTATAAAACATACTTGCTCATACGAAAGTTTAGAACTCAATCATTCATCATGAAAATTGTATCAAAACACATTATTTCATGAGTTAGAATGTAAACAAAAGACTCTTAAATTCTAAATTACGGAGTCTTCATTATTCTCCATTGTTCCACACATTAGGATTTTTCAAGGGGATAACATCTGCTTTCTCGAGCTTCAAAACAGTGAAAAAAATTCAAATTCAAAAGAAAGAATTCAAAAGTAGCAAGAATAGACAAAAAAATTTGAACAACATTTCATTTTTCCACTTACTTGTTGTGATGAATGACCAACATTACTAGACTTAGGAAATTTCTTTGTTAAAACTATGAATGGTAAAAAAACGATTTAAACACACTAGTTTAATCGTTTACAAGATCCTAGTTGTTATCATAATAAGACGAAATACAGGATTTCTAAACCCATTTCAAGCAACATGAAAGGGTCTAGTTATTAAAAACAAACAAGTCATCGAAGTCACCCAACATTGGGGGCTACAATAATAGATAACATAAAATGGGGGCTCAAAAGCCCAAAATATAGCCAAACTACTCTAGTTTGATGATGTCTTCAAGAATTCCCTAAACTAACTAGTTTTGTGCAAATCTTGAGATCACAGTTTTATAAGTGAATAATAATAATCGTCGGTTATTTTTATCATTGATAAAACCAATTTTGTAACTTACGCATGAAAAAATAAACATGAGTCGCAAGAGCAAGTTCATTCTATTATAAAAGTTTAAAATTTCATTTATAATTTAAATGCATAATTGTTGTTCAAAAAACTTCAATTTACATTAAAATTAATAAGTATAGTCTATGTGAGCAAAACAAAAGAGAAATAAAGTTCAAGCACAAAGACAAAATTAGAACAAAAAAATAAAAACACACACACATATATGCTTGACATGCTCATACAGGATCAATACTTTATCACTTCACATGAAATTTGTTTCAATATATTGCTTAAACATGTCACAACAACAAACAAACAAATTCATGAAAACAAGTCGAATAAAAAACCCCCAAATTCAAATTTTGGGGTTTAACGGTTCGAAAATCGCCCAAATTCAGCCAAGAACCAATGAATTATGGCAAATATGAATAAGGGAAGAGATCTACTTCCTTTAGCTTCGAAAAACAAGAAAATTCGATCTCTTTAGAGAGAGAAAGAAGCGAAAATCGTGAAGGAAGGAGAGAGAAAGCGAAATGAAAAATAGCGCTCAATGATTCTCTTTTTGCTGACTTAAATGTCACGCGCAATTGAATTAGTTGCGCGTGACACACCAGCGCAACTTAGAACGATATGCGCGCCTTGCCAACGCGACCTACTGAGTTGCGCGCGGATACTGGTCACTAAAATGACCAGTATCCAGATTTTGATCCGTTTGATCATTTTTTCAAAGGTTTTTTCTCGTTATTGGACGTAATGGCGCGTAAATTATCAAAATCTCTTAAATTGCTTTGCATTTTGTAGTTTATTTTCTTTTTTGTTATTTTTTTGCATCATCTTGCATGCACACCGTGCTTTGTGCCTTCCCCAAGCATACGTTTTGAACGTTGTTTGTAAGAGTTCCTTAAGACGTTCCATGGTGGTGCTTTACGTAAAAGCACCCATAGACAGGTTTGTCATTTTACCGTACTAAAGTTACAAATGTCCGGGTTTTCTTCTTTTTTCATGTCCGAAGCAAAAAAAGAAGGCGTTTTCATGCAGCGTAAAAATGCAGATGACGTATCATACGACGCAAAATTGTACAACGTAGGTGTTGCGTAAAATTTCACTTCAGCCCAAGCTTTGCGAGATCTACCTCTCAGAACTAAAAGTTAGAGAATTACTGTAGGCGTTAGCTCACGAGTCGATAGGCGCGCCGAACCATGAGGAACATGCACTTCTTGAATGGGAGCAAATACGGTAGTTAGTGCGCTTACTAACTTACCGGACAGTTAGGGTTTCGAATCACCCCCTGTATAAAGAAGCGACGAGACGATGTCGCGCCTATGTAGTCACGTGCCCCCAATCCTAAGACATGTGTACTCATCTTGTGGACAAAACCACTGAGAGAGTTGTTGACTTTCTTCCCTCTCACTGGATTTGGATATATGCCTCCAGTCCTGAGACATGTATTTCTATCTTGTGGACATCCGGCTCGAATACCGGACCTGGGTCGAATACCGGATCATTTCATCTCAAATACCGAAAACCCCTTTTCATCTTTTTTACTTTGTGAAAGTCAGGCTAAAGTTTCAATGGCATATCGAGGGACTTTAGACCAACGATGACACGATTGAGAAGAAATCATCCACTTTTATTCTTTTTTAAAACCGATCTCTTCTCATGACTTAACATCACCCAGAACACCTTTACTTGAAAAAGTGTTCTACAAATGCAAAGGATCAATCTAGATTCTTTAGCGTGTTGAGACTAGAGATAACTATTTCTAGCCTAAATAGATACTTGTTTCAAACACTTAGCGAACCAAGGATCATTTCAACATCCTTAATATTTCTGAAAGATTCTCTATTCTTAGGGAACTTCACCGAATGAGTCTCGGATTTATTTCCTTGACTAAATTGATTATCGTCTATTCTAGACTCAATCAAAGTGGGGGCTAACTGTAGACACCTACTTTTGGTCACTTGTCCCGAAAGGACGTGCGATGATGTAACAATTATCCGTTCTTCATGTTAGATTAAAGTTAAAATGTTTATGAACTATGAAAAGAATTATGAAGTAAGTTGAAACTTATATTTGAGACCAAGTTATCTTATAGCCTTTTCCAATTACTAATTAGGCCTAAAACATGTTCATACATGTTTAAACTTGATTAATAACTGACCCTAATGTGTCAAATACAATAATTTGATCCAATGGAACGAAACATAAGAGGGGAACACAAAGTTAGTCTAAACCCAAAAGGAAAGATCAAATGCAAAAGAAAAAAAAATCGTTCTAAACCTAAAACAAAACTTTGCAAAAAAAAAAAAAAAGGAGAGATGACAAGGAAAAAGCACCTAATGTAGGAGTTGTCACACAAAGCAAAAAGGTTCTAATTTGATAAGCACCAAATGTAAAGGATTTTGGGAGTATACTTGAACCTGTAAATTGTTCATAACCCCAAGACTAGCCACGTTACGACCTTAGAAAGGCCCTCCTTGAGGTAGACCATAACCATATACCAAAATCATCGTTCCATGAAAATATGGCTAATCTTGTGCATTTGCACATATAAACCTACTATTAAGTAGTTATGCCCATAAATAAAGTGCATGAAGTGTTTAGTTATGATTAAAAGATCATATAAAAAAAATTCAAATGATTTGGATAATTTGATAGTCATTGGCTTGATTACATCATGTTAGTAAATCAATCGAATCAAACTAAATTCGATATTTTCCATATCCTTTGCCAAAGAAAAATGAGATGACTATCAGTTTAAAAAAAACACAATCATCTTATTTTCTTTTAATAATAGGGATATTTATTACCAAGGTTATTCAGGACATACATTGCTTAAAAGAAAAAGAGTTAATACAATAAATTGATTTGATATCTCGATAGCCTCGACGTTAACTTTAGATGTCTTTTACAACTCTTGAGAATTGATCATTTCACTTGTCATGAGCAACTAAAATGTCCGCCTACGTGGGATATATCCATCTTCTCTAAGCGAGGAATATTGATTGAACATGATCGCTACATGGAAAAAAAAAGATCGTTGTCGCTGTCACACGTATACCACACTGCCAAGTCATCACGATTATTCAAATATTCAGTCAATAATCCTTGATTTTCAAAAACATGTCTAATTTTTTTTCCTTTATTCTTCTATGGGAAAGTTGTATTCCCCTTCCTTTTTATACAAATCCGTCTTTTTTTGTTCATTTCTTTTTTAAGGGGGTCATTCGGGATGATCCCTCCCATTTGGCATCTAAAATTACTACACCAAAAACTAGAATAAGAAACGCAAGAGAGAAAACGGTTAAATTAGATAGGCGATCTCTAGGATTATATACAACGCCTATCTAATTTAACCATTCTATATGATTTATTTTATTATTTTTATTAAATTGTTATTTTATTATATAGAACGCATTTCTTATTTAACCGTTCTATTTCATATATCAAATATTTTACACTCACAATATAGATCGTCCCTCCTATTTAACCGTTCTATATGTTTAACATTATTATTTTTTATTTAAAAAAAAAAAATCTAACATACCAAAAGGCTCAAAATTCTAACCCTAACTCCTCTTTCCTCTTAAGATAGTCGTCATACACTCATTCTCCTTCATAACTTCCCCTCTTGTTTTCCTCTTCTCTCACTTCTTTCCTCCTATGAGACTCTAACTCCTTTCTCTTCTACCTTCATCCCTTAATGTTCAAATAACTACAAGCTGAAGCCCGATTAAACTCCGAGCATCGTCACTGATGTTACAAAATATGCGGTGTGCAAAAATCAATATTCTCAATGTTACAAAAGTTGCGGTGTGCGAAAATTCGTCGACATCTTCCTCTGTTTACAACTAGCGGCCTTACCCAACCTCCGATACAATTAATGCGAAAGATTAAGCCATTGAATATTTGTTTTGCTCTATTTATGGTCATAAGTTGTTGCGGGTTGATTGGTGTTTAACATTATGGAGGTAGCTTGTTTAATTCTCAATTATTTATTTTAGATCTATAACTTTTATCAATTGATTTTTATGTAATGATTTGGATTAAATTCTGATTTTTCATCTTTGATTTATGGGTTCTTGTTGTAACTTCTCTATTTGCGTGCACTATCGGTGGAGGCGGTGTGGTGGTTGAGGTTGGTGGAAACGTTGCGGTGGTTCAGGTTGGTGGAAGTGTTGATGGTGGTTCAGGTTGGTGTTGAAGTGTCGTTCAGGTTGGTGTTGAAGTGTTGCTGGTGGTTCAAGTTGGTGGAAGACTGGAAGTGCCGCTGCGGTTGGTTTCGAATTTCAAGGGAAAATGAAGTTGGTGTTCTTCTGAAGTTGTAAACACATTAATAATTATTAAGTTAGTTTAGAGAATTGTATCAAAATCTACTTGAATTGTAATTACAATAAAGTTTTTTTTTTAATTAATTTGGCATCTGACTCACTTTTACAATTGCAATTCAATTTTGTTTATTGATTGATGATGTAATTTATGAAATACTGTAGTATATATGCAATTTCCATGACGCAATATTATTATCATTTTATTTTATTTTTAAAAAAACAATAAAGAGAACTGTTATCTTTGCTAACCGTTCTCTTTTATTCATTTTTTATAAGCATGTAAAACATGAAATAGAACGCTTATTTTTTGCATATAGAACGCCTCTTGTACCCATTCTCTTTTCCCTTATATAAAGAACGCCTCTTATACCCGTTCTGTAAACTTTACACATCGCTTAGCAGAAGAACGCCTCAGAGGCATTCTATAAGGCCTAATTCAACCGTTCTCTATTCCATTTTTTGTAGTAGTAAATACTCGAAAATAGTATAATTTTTTCGCTCTTTGCCTCAAATTTGGGGCTTAAAAAAGCCAGGATATCCCCACTTTCTCTATTTACAGATTTGAACACGCTATTTATGCTGAAAAATCAATGTAATGCAAAGCTTTTTACGAACCATCTTAATAACTTTAGGCAAAGGGAAGAATACCACTTCCTATTATTTTACCAAGATAATTAATTATGTTACTTGATCAAACCATTTGTGATAAATATATGCAATATTCCACAAATTAAAAACACAAGTCTTTGGGCTTTAAATAAACATGAGAAACATCCCTTAACATATTTATACATGAATTCCAAAAGCCACCTAAAGTTTATGCTTGGGGGCTTCAAATTAAAAATATAGGTCTCACCTTAACTTTCATTATAAAATGAGACCATATTTTAGAAAGTGATTCGAATGATTTTATAAATTATTTTAACACTTCACTAAACCTAAGTTTGATAAACATTCATTTTCAAACTACGGTACTTATTTAATCAAAAGAACTTCACTTTTAATTAATAAAATATGACAATGATGACAAGCACAAAACCATAAACAAAATCAGATATACAAAAGTTTGCTCACATTTTCATATCTTTGTTGAAATAAGTTGCAAATTATAACTTATCTTCATCAATCTTGGACAAAAAGGTCACACTCAATTACGAGCTAGACTTTTCTTTCCACTTCGGGTCCAGTATTGAAAATAATATAATTATTGGATCTCATTTCAAATTTTGAATTTTCGTTCAAAACAACATGTTTCTAATAAAAAATAGTATTCAAAATTTCCTTTCTGAATTTTTGTTTTCTCAATTAAATAAATTTTCAGATTCTCTATAATTGTTTGGATAATACATGTATTTTTCCAAAATGAATGAATTAAGATTCGAATTCTTCTTGACTCGAACTTGTTCTGACTTAGTTCTCCTGCGAATATAGGCTAAGGGATGGTAAACAAACCACCTACTAGACCAAAATCAAAGATTAATAAGAACAAAGAAAATATTTGATGTTCTAAATCAACTTTGAGAATAAAATCACCACAATGATATTTACAAACGTTTATACATTAGGTATGATATACTAAACCTTAAACACAATTATTTTTGTTTATAAACAAGCAAAGAACTAAATTGCTTTCGTGAACATGACTTTAACTAAAATGTGAAAGCCATGTCACTGTCCTAAATATCTAAAAAAAAAATAGGACATATACATAGGTCCATATCAGTATCATATGAATGGCCTAAATGATAGCAAGTCATTAGAACTACTACAAATTAGGGGCTCTAAGACTTGTAAAATAGTAAGAATGCGCATAACCCGAAACATGGAGGCTCTAATATCTACAAGAAAAAAAAATTGAGATATTCATTCAATTCGATCTACTTTCGGGAATCGCCTATTCTACAAATGATTTACGTAGATCTCGAGCCTTACAATTTTCAAATGCATCACAATTATTTAATGATCATTTTGTTCCTTTGAAAACTAAGTTTGCAACTGAACTTGACCATTAAACAAGTTACATACGCGAGCCATTTTCAAGTTCAATTCAAAAACTAATCTTAGTGCATTATTGTTGTTTCAATACTTCAATATACTCTAGAGATTAGAGAGTATGACTAGTATAGAGAAAAAGAAAAAACATCATGATACATACATGCTCATATGAAAGGTTATTACTCAATCATTCATCATGAAAATTATATCAAGACACTTTATTAACATAAGACAAACAATTTCATGAGTTAGAATGTAAACAAAAGACTCCTAAATTCTAAATTAAGGAGTCTTCATTTAAAATTATTCTCCATTGTTGCAGACATCTGGAATTTCGCAAGGAGGATAACATCTACTTTCTCGAGATTCAAAACAGTGACAAAATTGGAACTTAAAAGAAAGAATTCAAAAGTAGCAAATTTGAAGAACATTTCATTTTTCCCCTTACATGTTCTAATGAATGACCAATATTACTAGACTTAGCAAATTTCTTTTTTAAAACTATAAATGGTCAAAAACGGTTTAAACACACTAGTTTAATCATTTCCAAGATCCTAGTTGTTATCATAATAAGACAAAACACGAGATTTGTAAACCCATTTCAAGCAGCATGAAAGGGTCTAATTATTGACTACAATAAAATCATCGAAGTAACCCAACACCGGGGGCTACAACATTCAAAAATAAAAAATGCGGGCTTATTACGAACACGAAATATATCCAAGCTACACCAGTCCGATGATCTCTTCAAGAATTTCCTAAACTAACTAGTTTTGTGCAAATCTTGAAATCACAGTTTTATAAGTGAATGATCATAATCATCAGTTATTTTTATCATTGATAAAGCCGATTTTGCAACTTACGCATGAAAAAAAATAATATGAGTCGCAAGAACAAATTCATACTATTATAAAAGTTCAAAATTTGATTTATAATTTTAATGCATAATTTTTGTTCTAAACACTTCAATTTACATTAAAATTAACAAGTATAGTCTATGTGAGAAAAAAAAAATATCAAGCACAAAGTCAAAATTAGAATAAACAAAAACACATATATGCTTGACATGCTCATACAGAATCAATACCTTATCACTTCACATGCAATATATTGCATAAACTTGTCACAACAACAAACAAACAAATTCATGACAACAAATCTAATCAAAAACCCCAACTTTTGTTAGGATTCTTCATTCGATTTCTCTATTTTATTGGCCAAGATCAAAGGCTGGTAGAATAAAAGGAGAAAGATTTACTTTCCTTAGCTTCAAACGACAACAAAAAATGGAAAGAGATTAAAATTGGAGAAAGAGGAGAAGAAGAAAGTAAGCTGCAGATCGCGCTTCTCCAAATCTTTTACTAATTCAAATGTTGCGCGTAACTCATTAAGTGGCGCGTGGCATCCCAACGCAACCCAGTTTCTTGTGCGCGCTTGGCCAGCGCGACATAGTGAGTTGCGAGCGGACACTGGTCACTTAAAAGACCAGTACTAAGATTTCAAACCGTTTTGAATTTTTCGTAATGGTTTTGTACGTTGTTAAACATAATAACGCGCAAATTATTGCAATCTTTTAAAATTTCTTTGCATCTAGTAGTTTCTTTTCTTCTTTGATAGTTTTTTTGCATCATATTGCATGCACACTATGCTTTGTGCCTTCCCCAAGCATACGTTATGAACGTTTTTCGTAAGAGTGCCTTAAGACGTTCCGTGGTGGTTCTTTATGTAAAAGCACCCATAGACAGGTTTGTCATTTTACTGTACTAAAGTTACAAAAGTTCGAGTTTTCTTCTTTTTTCACGTCCGAAGCAAAAAAGAAGGCGTTTTCATGCAGCGCAAAAATGCAAATGGCGTATCGTATGACTCAAAATTGTACGGCGTAGGTGTTACGTAAAATTTCACTTCAGCCCAAGCTTTGCGAGATCTACCTCTCGAAACTAAAAGGTAGAGAATAACTGTAGGCGTTAGCTCACAAGTTGACAGGCGCTCCGAACCATCAGGAACATGCACTTCTTGAATGGAAGCAAATACGGTAGTTAGTGCGCTTACTAAATTACCGGACAGTTAGGGTGTCTGACCACCCCTTGTATAAATAAGTGACGAGATGATGTCACGCCTATGTAGTCACGTGCCCCCAATCTTGAGACACGTGTACTCATCTTGTGGACAAAACTGCTGAGAGAGTTGCTGACTTTCTTCCCTCTTACTGGATTTGGATATGTGCCTCCAGTCTTGAGACATGTATTTCTATCTTGTGGACATCCGGCTCGAATTCCGGACAATTTCGGCTTGAATATCGAAAACACCATTTTCATCTTTTTACTTTGTTAAAGTCAAGCTAAAGTTTCAATGACATATCGAGGGACTTTAGACCAACGATGACACGATTAAGAGGAAATCATCCCCTTTTATTCTTTTTTAAAACCAATCTGTTCTCATGACTTCACATCACCCAGAACGCCTTTACTTGAAAAAGTGTTCTACAAATGTAAAGGATCAATCTAGATTCTTTAAAGCGTTGAGACTAGAGATAAATTTTTCTAGCCTTAATAGCTAATTGTTTCAAACACTTAGCGAACCAAGGAACGTTTCGACATCCTTAATATTTCTGAAAAATTCTCTATTCTTAGGGAACTTCACAGAATGAGTCTCGGATTTATTTCCTTGACAACTTTTATCATCGTCTATTCTAGACTCGATCAAAGTGAGGGCTAACTGTAGACACCTACTTTTGGTCACATGTCTAGAAAGAAAGTGCGATGAAGTTACAAAAATCTGTTCTTCATGTTAGATCAAAGTTGAAATGTTTATGAACTATGAAAAGAATTATGAAGTAAGTTGAAACCCATATTTGAGACCAAGTTATCTTAGAGCCTTGTCCAATTACTAATTAGGCCTAAAGCATGTTCATACATGTTTAAACTTGATTAATAACGTACCTAAATGTGTCAAATGCAATGATTGGATCCAATGGAACCTACATTGTTGAAAAACCGCGCCGAAAAGGTAAAAATACCATAAAATTCCCATGAAAGGCCTATACATATGGATAGCCCTTTCAAAGATATTTCCTACGATATATTATAAGA